ACTACGCATTCACACAAAGACAATATGAAGAAGACTCAAGACCTGGAGTTGGGATGGTGCACATGCAACTCTGAATCGCATCCAACATGGCCGCGATGAGAAGGATGGCTGCAGCTCACAACCAAAGACCAAAATTAGGGCAAAAGACAGTTAGAAAAAAATAGGGGTAAAGGGAAGAGAGGGAGGAAGTCAAGAAAGTTCCGGGAATGAGAAGACGGAACAAAGAAAGACAGGGTGAAGAAGTCCTGCTTAAACATCCCCAAAAATGTATCTGACTATTGATTGGAATTCAAGTTCCATAAAGGACCAAAAAACGACAATAGAGCTCTTAGGGGCAGGCTGAATGCCAAGCCCCAAATTAGGGGTTAACCTTGGCCTTCAGATCTTTAAGCAACAACCCAAATCCAAAGAGACCAACGACAAGATACCAGGCCCAACAAGAGGGAGGGAGATCCCTTGAGCATTAACCCATTGGGAGAAGAGAGACGAGGAAAGGAAAGAAGGCCGACAGCCATGAAGAGTTCCTGGACGAAAGAGAACAAGGACGGAAGAGTGGAGAAGAAAAAGGCGGAGAGATGAAAGAGGCGGATTGAAGAGACGAACAAATAGCGGAGGGAATGGGGAATGGAGAATGGGGGAGGAGGAGGGAAGGATAGAAGAAGGAGAGAATAATAAAATAAGGAAACTAAGAGGAGGAGAAGCCGCCTAAGTGGGGGTTTTACTTCAATATTTGAACTCTACTATCCATCGAAGGAAGGAGTTGGCTGAAGATGATGACTCTTCAACCAATTATCAAAGCCAAACGATATTATACTCACCACAGGAATATACTGTCCATTTACTCCATAGGTAAAACCCCATGTTCTCTAAATTTAAGACCCAAATATTGGGGGATGTAACATCTTCAATCCATATAGGACGACTACAACAACACAATATCATCATCTTAAGATTAAATAAGGACTATCCAAGTTTTAGAAAATCATATCCAAATGTCTGAAAAATCAAAATTAATTTTCCTTATATTAAACGGTAGGAGTTTTTGTTCGTACGCCCTGTTTTTTACACCCATCTCATAGGAGACCCAAGGATCCAAATGACATGTTGTCCCAATCTTTTTTATCCTCCAACCCTTGAACCCCTTTCACTATATACTACTAACCCATACAAATGATAAATGACACCCTTTTCTTTTTATCTAAACATTTCACTAATGTCTCTCTCTCTCAAAACTCCATCTCTCTCTCTCTCCTCTCTCTCTATAGCTCAACACGGCCAATGCCTTCAAAGAGAAAGTCGTTGGGTTTATGTGGCCTTTAAAGATCTTATGAGAGCTTGTATAAGCATTGTATATAGTGAAATAGAAATTCAATGGAAGTGTGGTTCTTGTATGGACAACACAAGACAAATAATATTTGCCGATACTCGGACTAGGCTCGACGTACTAAGCCAGCCGAGTTTGAAAAAACTCAAGGTAACTGGGCATAGAGTTAAAATCGAGAAAGGTTTATTGGGTTAGCCCTTGACAAAGTCGGAATATGCTCGGATGAGAGCCAAGGAACTATGTGACCCTTGTGTATGATGAATGACCTATAAAGACAAAGTTAAAACTTCATCATTGTATTATCACACGGCATATACATAGATAGTAGTATTGAGATAAAGGTCTACTACTGAGGCGGAGTGTGTACATGTGCGACAGATTATCCATATGCATCATTAAGTCGTGGTTGTATCATGGTCTGGGGACCATGATTTTTATCTCCAAGGGAGAATCTGGAATCTACATATTGGGATTGCATTCCCTAGCTGATTGACTGACTTTTGTAGTCCAATCATGAGCCCTTGCAATGGACTATGAGTCATGAGAACTGTTGGGTCAGTTTAAAAAAGCTAAGTGGATCGTGGTCCACAGTTAATGGTGGAGTGCTCCTGTGCGTTGATAAAATCCTGGACCTATTCAAATTCGATTCCCATCAAAATTAATTTGTTTTAATTAATATTATGTTATTTGTTTTTAGAATGTTTATTTGTATTTTTGTAAATATTTTGATATATTAATTTTGTCATTTAGATTTTTAAATCTAAAGAAATTCAATTTTTAATGTTTTAAATAAATTAAAAGATTTAAAATCCTAAAAATAAAAATTAATATTTTCTAAAAATATGTGGGTCTATAATATTTAGAGGCTCAATTTTCACATGTCGACTATTGGGTGGGGCTCATGAGAGGCCACCAAAGGGTGGTGCACCCCACCCATAGGGATTGCTCTCTCTCCTTCTAAATATGACGAGGGATCCCATATCAGTTAAAGGTTTTGATTTAAAGAACTGTATTCACTTGTGATAACAAGTGAGAACTATGTTTTTTTTTTTTATTTATTTGTTTCAAAAATTATTTTTTATAATGAGACATTGTGAGTAGTCATTCCGGTGTAAGAATAAAAAATTAATAATTATAATTTATATACACCATCACATAGTCAAACTTTCAAAAAGTCTTTGTGTCCTTTCACTTAATCAAATGCCTCCAAAGAGAATTTATTGGACAGAGAGAAATTCTCTCTATTTCATCGTCTGATTATGTTCCAGGCAAAAAATTCTCTAAATCACCGTTACCTCTTCGAGAGCGAGAGTCTTCTGTTTCAGACAAGGATTGTCTCGAAGCGTCCATCCGTATGACTTTAACTCAAACTGCAATTCTAGTCTCAACAAGAGAGCCTCTCCTGTTTCTGAACAGGAGAAGTTCTCTCTATAGCTTAGGCCCATGATGCCTTATTTACAATCAGAGTCTCTCTGTTTTGGACAAAAGAAATTCTTTCTCTAGCATACCCTGTAATTCCTCAGCTGCTTCTCTCACATTCGTCCTCCCAAAACCCATTCACAATTGTCTTCCAAACAGATTCAACTGGAACAAAACCTTCATCCACCATCTTTCCTACCAATCCTGCTGCCTTACAAACATCTCCCTTCTTGCAAAATCCATCAACCATCACCCAGAAACCCTCTGAAACTACCTGAATTCCTCTTCTCGTACCTATATAGACCTGAAAAGCTCCGTTTGTATCCGTTGAAGAACAAAGGCCTCGGATCACCAAATTGTGCATGTTTTCATGGAGTTTTTTAGTCATTTAATTCGGAAAAACTTTACTTAGTACCATCTCATCAAGAATATTTGCAGCCTCTTCAAACCTCTGAAAGTCACAACGCCCTGCAACAATCTTACCATAGAGAGGTGCATCAGGTTCCCATCCATGAAGCTTCATCCGATCAAAGACCACCAATGCTTCATGGATCCTTTTCTAGTTGAAGATGCCAGTGCGGAACGTACTGTAAGTTTTCATGTTGGGTCTCTCTCTTCCCTCCCTTTGCTTTGTCTGTCTTCCCATCCAATGTTTTGAGAACTTCCATGGCCTCTAGTGACCTTACAGCTGTGCAGAGGCAATTCATCGGAAAGGTGTAAGTTATGACATTGGGCCCGATTCCATTGACAACCATTTCTTCGAGCAATTCCTCCAAATCTCCAACTTTGAGAGAGAGAAAGACACATCTTTAGAGAGAGAACAACCGAGTTTTGAGAAAAAGAGGGTTTTGAGAGAGAGAAAGAGACGGAGAGATGTTCACAAGTCTTTTTAGGGAGAAAGAAAAGGTTGATATGTCATCATTTGTTTAGGTCACGTGATCGAATGGTCTAGAGGTTGGAAGATAGAAAAAAAGAGAATTTTTTTAAAACCCTTTTTACATTTTACCCACTTTACATCCCACCCAACCTCTTCATAGCAATGTTTTTTTTTTAGCTAATACCGCCTACCCAAAAAGTTTACTTATTTTGAACGAAAATATTTTTTTTTACATAATAAATTATTTTCATTAGAAAAGACACGGTTCGGCGTTTGAAAAGACACGGTTCGGCGTTTGAAAAGATGCGGTCCGGCGTTTTATGGTGGTGACGGTCTGACGATTATTTTTTTTTACTGGAAGGAGTGTTTCGGCATTTTGAAGTTGCAATCCGACGTTTTGAAATATTTACGGTCCAACATTTTGCGGGACAGTTCGGCGTTTTGAAATGCGCCAAAATGAACAGTCCTGTGTTGTCGGCATTTTGAAGTATTTGCGGTCCGACATTTTGAAAGGCAGTCCAACATTTTGAATTTCGCCAAAATGAACAATCCGATGTTGTGCAAATACGGTCCAACATTTCCTTTTATTGGGATCTGAAAATAATTTGTCGTGTAAAGTGAAGGTATTTTTGTCAAAAACAACGTAACTTTTTGAGTCCGGAGTATTAGTTATAAAAGATGTTTTTGAAAAAAATAAGTGAAGAACGTTTAAGATGGGGGTATAGTGTCTAGAAAATATATTTTTAAGGCTTTTTAACCATTTTCCCTAAAAAAAATGAGAACTTTATACGGCCAAAAATATTTTTAACCATTGGGTCTCCCAAGAAATGAGTACAAAAAAAAGGTAGGGAGAAATTTTTCGTAAACGATACTTTTTTGAAATGAACTCCAAAAATTCACCGAGAAAATCATCGTGAGCACATATTTTGCCCGATTGAGTAGTGACATTTTGCAGGTTTTAAATAAAGAGTAATGATCCTATGAGACCCTCTCATACTCATGTATGTAAAACACTAAAAGATCATTAAATTTGACACAAATCTGTAAAAAAAGTGATTTTTCTAAAGATCTATGTCAAATTTAATGATGATCTTTTAAAATCCTACACACATTGACATGAGAGGGTCTTGTAAGATCATTACTCTTAAATAAATTGTTAAAATCTATTATGTCGTAACCTCGGCCCTCTCTCTCTTCTCGCTCCCGCACACATTAATACTCTCTCTCTCTATGGAGTCTTAGCTTTTGTACCCTCTTATATCTCTCTCAATAATTTCCAGATACCATTCCACCCATTCCGTAAGATTATCTGGTACCTTGATGTTATAGTAACACCTAATACAGGATGATTAGAAACAATTGATCAACAACAACCATATCTGTACCGAAAATGGCAAGTCAAACACTTACGATTACATCATTCATAATTTGTTCAAAAAAATCACATCATTCATAGTACCACATGGCTCGAGCAAAAGGTTACAGAATAAAAGATAACCCTTTGCCGGCAAACTTCATGAGGTCGTGACTCTTCAAGAGCACACAACTCCCAAAATCAAATATTGAATATTATCTAATCTGTTCCTCAGAGAAAAACAGACTGCAGTGCCCCAGTGCTAACCAAAAACATTGCATATGGGGTTTCAATGACAAACTATACCAATAAACCAGAAAATTTTCTTGGTTATTTTATACCTATACATGATTTTTATACTCGATTAACATAGGCTACAGCTTCAAACACATAAGGTCTGGTTCTTTCGATGAATTGTCAACTGCTTCCTCAACCATCTACAGGCATCATGATAAGAGAAACTCCATAAGAGAGCGATAGAATCATCACAGAAAGCACAGTAAAAGAAACAGAATATGAAGAGAAACATTGGATATTTTTTATATCTCAAACCACAGATGAGAACAAGTTGCAACAGGTTGATTGGTATAAATCCAGAAAGATAAGCTACTTTGGTTTGACAAAAGAAATTCCAAGGAGAATAACTTACACATCCAGTGCGTGGTATACAGTACACAGGCAGGGCATCCATCATCTATTAACTATGATGAACAGCAGAGATCAAACATGGTTTCCAATCAAGGAGACTCACAAAGGTTGGTTAATCTACACGGTTCGCATCAACAATGGATGGCACATGCCTCAGACATGTACCATATACCATATAGAGCCTCACAGTCCCTTTAAAAAAATAACCATGATCCTAAGAATGGCAGCTAAAATACCAGAAAAGCAAGCCAAGACTTCTTGACATATCTATCCATTGCATCACCTACTTATAAAGAGAAGATTGCTTGCCGAGATGTCTATCTAAAAGATAATAAGTTAAATTAGCAGCTAGGTTCACATTCCAGTTCTAGACAAAAAATAAATATATAGATGCTAACAGGCGATTGTTGGGACATCATGCAAAAGGGTTCATCTCCTCTCATAAAGGCACGGATGCAACTGCCGGGTAGGCCCTAAAATGTCATGTCTAAAATAATTGTAGGAAAGCCAGAAGACCTCGTAGAGAGAATTTTTGGCTAGAGGACAATGCATGGTTGATATTTCCAAAAGAAATGGGGGGCATTTGAATGATGTATCAAATGAGCAGCAAACAGGGAAGACTTTGAATGAGTAGATTGGAAAAATAGTGAATGTGGGGGTGCTTCATGGGTTTGTCTGGGTTGGTATGAGAGAGATGGAGAGATACCATATCAATACGGTCCATCTTGCTTGAACATGACCCAGCTATCAATGCAGGACATTAATGAGTAACAGTTCTCTGAGTGAAAATAAGAGCTGTGACAAAGTTTCATGGTTTTTGAGTTTACCAAAATCTCAAATCAAGAGGAAAGAATGGCAATATCAGGAAGAGGAATTTTCCTTGGAGAACTTATTGGTTAAGTAGCTCAAAGATGATTCTCATAAAATTAACACTTTTGTGCTCCTAACCTCAAAGCCCACTTTTTCGTACAAATATTTCGCTGGTGTGTTATCTGCATTCACGTGAACAAAGATCTGCGTCATGCCTGTAAGGCCAATATCCAAATAAAATTAGATCAAAGAATGTAGAGTATGTCAATAAGCTGTCACATATGGCAACCATCCGCTAATTTAATCAACTCAGAAAAACAATCAGATTATCTAGACACCACTTAGACTACCTGCAGAGAGAGCAACATCCATAGCCAAATACAGCATATTGGTCGCAATACCTTGGCGGCGTGCATACTTTGCCACACAAACATTTGAAACATAAGCATACCTATGTGGATGGTCAGAACCATTACTGGCCATTAATGCTGAGGATTTCCCATATCCCTGAAGACAAACTGGAAACTTCAGAGAAAAAAGAAAAGAAAACCCTTGTATTGTATCAAAGACATCTAAAGTGAAAAAGAGAAGGAATATAGGACATGTCCTAGGACTATTTTCATTTCAAACTTTTGGATTGTGGTTAATATCACAACTACAACACATGGATTTCTGCCCAAATATTACCCACTAATCATAGATGGCCAATTAATCCCAGTAACTTACTTGTCACTTGCTAATTCTGTATAGAAGAGAGACATTAAAACATGGGATTCAAGGTTCCGAAGTACGAAAATTGACCTTTTCCCTGATCCCTGGAAAGGCCTCGCCTTGCAAGAACTGCCTAATGCTTACGTCAAGCGTTCCAACAATGCTATTCAAGACAGTACGCCTCACATTCTCTTCTTCTTTTTTAACCTGAAAATGACAAAAACCATCACAATTTCTTTGGCCTTGGGTCCTCACATAAAGCAACAGCTGTATCATGTAGAACTCTGCATCAACTATCTTATACCAATCTACAGCATGTAACCACAAAAGTCCTCTTTGAGTGGGTTGTCCCAGTAGGCAGTTATCGCTGGCTAGCATTTAATTTGAAAGATTGGAGGGCGAAATTTTAAGATGCGTATAAGGATCAGGGCCGCATATCTAACACAGTTGCACACACAAGCCTCAATGTCTAGTATAATGTCCTCCACTTTTTTAAAAAATAATAATAATTAAACTTAACTTTATTTTGACGTCAGAAATAGACAAATATGGTTCAAAGATACAATGACATGTAAAACTGAATTCGCTTTTGGACAATAAGTATGAACTACTAAGTGATGAGATTACATTGTTTTTTTCTTTTATTTTTGTTGTAATTGACTATTTCATTGATTTTGTGAAATTTGTACAACTGTGACTCGAACCCAAGGAGGGATGCTATAAAAAATCCTCATCATCATATCATCAAAGCCTTTTCCCAACTATTTGGGGTTGGCTATATAAATCCTAGTCCGCCATTCTGCCATATCAAGGATCATACCCTCACATCTTTTCTCACTACTTCCAACAATATCCTTTTGGGCCTACGTTGCCCTTTTTTAGCCTTCCACTTAAACTACTTCGCACCTCCTAACAGGTGTTGCACTGACTCTGCGCTGCACATGGCCAGCCCACCTAAGTCTAATTTCTCTCATCTTGTTGCCTATTTGAGTCAAACCTAAGTTCTCTCAAAAGGATTTATTTCAAATTCTATTTTTTATTGTAAATCGTCCATTCAACATCCTCATCTCAACTACACTCATCCTATGGGCATGTTATTTCTTGACTGCCCAACATTCCGCCCCATAAAGCAAAGCTAGTCTATGAAGGGTGGGGACCTTAAACTTTCCTTTAACCCTTCCCAAGCGCGGGTAACGGAGGGGGTTGTGTTAGGTAGGTAACCAACTTAAAACTTGACCAAAACTTTCCATGTTATAATAAATCTTAATCAATCAAAACTCCTCAATTGAGGAAATGTTCTGAAAAAAAAAAAAAATTGTACATTGGACTATCAAGGGAAGTACTTTGGGACTTTCTTTTTTTCTTTTTCTTTTTTTAGGGTGGTGGTTGCGGGGAGGTGGGGGGGGGGTTTGGCAGTTTAGTGGTAGGATTTGAACTTGAGATATAGTACTACTAAATGTCAGCTGCTAACCACTCAAGTGTTGTTGGTTAACAAAGAGTTAGGGTCGAACAATGCTCACCAACAAGATGATATGTTTGGGATTTTGTTTTTAATTTGCATTTCCAATTTTCTTTGTCATTTTTTTTATCTTCACTCAAATTAGCAGAAGTGCCAAAATCTTTCAGTCTCCCAACCACTCCACTCTTCACATGATAGCAGGAACACATGAGGCTAACTTGCATTGTTTCTTTCCATTTCTTCATTGGGTTTCAAAGCATGAAGACAGTAACCTTGCTCCTCCACCAAACCAATTCGGTGAAGTACATGAATACTCTAACTGTGGTCCCATTCAACTTGGAAGCCTTGAAAACTATGGTTCCATTGGACCATCCAGTAAAGTTAACCAGGACAGTAACAACTACTGGACCACATAGACAATATAGAAATAGAGAAATAGAGAAACAAGAAACCAGAAAACACAGAAGACATACACATCATTATCCTCCCAAAAAATATTCCAAGAAACATTGAAAACCTAACGCATTATCTGACAATTGAGATTATCACAACAACAAATTTGCAGGTCAGGATATAAAAATAAAAAGCCTTCGATATATTGGACCTACAGCAACAATGCAGAAACACTTCAAAGAGTTTTTGAATTGCCCAGCACACCGCTGCTTCAAAGCATTGAATTCCTGCAAGAATAAGCATCAGAAATGTATTATTCAAATGAAATCAGTTTCTTCATAAGCATTCGATGTCTAAATAAAATACTTGAGCACTAGATCTGAAAATGAATGAAGCCACTACCCATTTATGAGAAAATGGTTAATGCTTACGTGTATCTACCAACACAAATCAGAGGTTACTCATGCTTGAGCTAATCACTTAGTAGAAAAACTGCAAACATATACATGGGTCCTATTCTTTACAGATTTTGCTCACCACCCCAAAAGCGAATCAAAAAACCAAGAATCAACAGTTATCACATATGGTTAGTATGAAGAATGTTCAAAATGTTAAATTGGATATGCAGGTGAACATATGTGTACAATAAGACAGAAGCCACCGAGTGTGGCTTTCTATTTGGAGACTCTAGAAGGCAACAAAGTAATGGAAAATGTCTACACCATATATGGTGGGAATAAGCTTCAAACTAGTAATTATCTTCTTTTCTGTTGATATGGCTTATTATTAAAAATAAAGATAAAAAAATTGATATATATTATACAAGCGCCCATTTTCTAAAATTAAACAAGAATGGCTTATTAGTTAGCAGTGGCACCTATGGTATGCTCTTCAGCCATGAGATCTCCATTTCGATCCTCGGGGATGCCATTTTGGGCTTCCTTTTCTTTTAAAACTTTAAAAGGTTAAGTTAAAAAAAAAAAATAATATATATATATATATATATAGGTGTAAGTAAGGGGGTTAGAACCCTCAACATAATGCAGGATAACCATATGTAGTACCCAACAAGCTGTTTGAAAGCTTTTTGAGACAAGATAGGCATATTATAATATAGCTTCTATATACATGGTACACAGAAAAATAGGCATATTATAATCTATATCTTTTGAAAGCTATATAATATAATGCATGATAAGCATACATAGTAGCCAACAAGATGTTTCAAAGCTTTTGAGTCAAAAAAGGCATATTATAATAATATATAACTTATATATACATGGAGTACAGCAAAACTGGCCTCGCCCTATGGGCGAGGCCGAGTAACTCAGACTCAGCCGAGTCCCGAAACACTATATATAACTTCAAAATACTAATGCAAGCATAGATACATACATAAACACATGAATCAAATGGACGCACACATGTCCAAACACAAGCATTCATGTATAAACATGGATACAGTCACAGGTAAGCTGATGCATATTCCTACACATTCACATTTAGAGTAATGTCTAAATATGAATTACGCGACTAGATGGCCCTATCGATTCAAGACAAACAAGAAGGGTGTCCGTCAGGAACATACAATAAACTTGGCAAAACCATGGTAAGAAAGGAGGATAATCGCTTCATATATGACATTCAGGACACATGCATCATCGGGCATATTATTTGCAGCAAAGTTCAGACCAGATAGAATGTCAATGAAAACCAAGTCATAAAAAAATGTGTACTCTAGTAGAGTAGAATTAATCCTTTTGAGATGCCAACAATTTAGGAGCAACAGAAAATACTTAAAGCTTGAATCCTTTTAATGGAAAATAACAGATAGTGGGAATTGTGAATCAGGTTCTGAATAAAGTCTCACCTGCTCAGCAAATTTCCTCTTGTAACTCTCAACATGTCTGCAAGAAGAATCATTTTGGGTTTCAAATAGACAACTTGGACCAATCATTGATAATCAACTAGAAAGGAAAACTAAAGATAAGGCTTTTCACTCTAAAATAAAACAAACATGAACTGTCCAAGTGTCAAAATAGGAGAGAACTGACCGCATGTATGAGTGGTTCTCCCAACAGCTCTCTGCCCGAAGCCATGCTGCTGTCTGATGTGCAAGATTGAACACGTGAAACACTAAAAATCATTATAGCAAAAGCCTAAACATATGGAGCCCTTTTTTTTTTTGTTTAATCAGTGATAGTTCAATGAAAGGGTTTGAAACTTGAAATGTAAATAGGTCATCTTGTTTGGGTTTTTTAGGGTTGAACCTCCATGGTTTGAACCCTTGACCTTCCTCACTCAAAGTGGGATGTCTACCACAAAGCCAAAGTCTAAGGGACAAAGAAAAAGGGTAGGTCAGCATAATTTGTTGCTAGGGACAAACTTCAAGGTTCAAGCACACGACTTCCTGCTTACATAATTACCAGGAGTTTCTACCCATAGACCAACCTAAGGATAACAAAAAAGGGTAGGAACTTTGTGTGGTTATTGAGATACTTGAGACCTTGACCTCCTGCACACCAACCGGGTGTCCTACCGTCAGGAAAGAAGCCCAATTGACAACAGGTACATGAGTAGTACATTTAAGAATAAAATATAAAATGCAACTGTCTAAAATATTATGCAAGTAGCATGAACCTGGATCCAAATGAAATCTCACCCAATATTCTTCATCCAAGACAGCTTCTCGAACAACAAACCTGCCAAAGCCCCTCTTTTGCTCACTTGTAAAATCCTCTTCCCTGGGCTGTAGCCTGTCAAAAGAGAGCTGAGACGACCCCACATCATCTCTCTGAGGAATCAATGACTGTTGAACACTTTGAGAACTATCCTGGCACTGAACTTCTACCTTTCTCCATCTATGGTGGGAAGAGGTTGAAAGAGTATCCCTGTGCAAGCCCAAAAAGAAGGGAACTCAGCAAATAACTGGAATGGGGAGAATAACTGGACAAGATCACAGCATCAATTAGAAATGAGTTAGTAATATTGCATTTATCTCCGAATCCTAGTTCAGAAAAATGAATTGACAGATACAATGCAACAAAACAACGCACTAAACCCAAACAACAAAATATCAATTTGAGTACTCAAATATTCAACTAAAGTAGTATATTAAGATATGATAAAATTCAATAGGCAATATAATGTATCATGTATTATTCAAAAATTACTTCTACTATCAAAATTTGGAAATGACTTTAATTTCATGAGAAGGACTGTAACCTGGATCCCAATTCATTTTGGTTATAAGTTCCTAAGAACAGTTACATCATCCATGTTAATTTATTCTATAGTTTTTTATTTGTATTTTTTCTACAGGACCGGTAGGATCTTTCTAGTCCTCATGGACCACTTAAACCCTTTTTCACTTAAATAGCATGACGTGTTGTCCAAGCTATTTGTCTTTGTCTACCATCAAAACTTTCTTCTTGTGCCTCCAGATCCTGAAATTTTGGTTTCCTTATACTTATGTATTGAATTTAATTGAGGTCCATTGGCCTCTTTATCTAACTTAAGAGTGTAATCTAAGTGTAATCAAGATTGCAATAAACCTTTTCATTGCAGAAAGAATTTTGAACAAAGTGGAGCAGTTCTGACTGCACTTCTTATTTGCACCAGGGTTCCTGTTTTGACAGCAGTACCCAATATTCCACCGTGGTGCCCAATTTTGACCACAGTCGCTAGTTTTGACCGCGGTAGTCCATTTTCACGGCAGTGAATCAGTTCACCACGAACTTTAAGCGTGTCTTGAAAACAAAAAAAGGGAAACTTAACAATTTGAAGTGATAAATTGGCTTACTATCACGAATAGCTATGGGAAACTCGTTGAAACCAATGACCCACAACTTTGTGACATTGGACCGTTTTGATGGTATGAATTTTAGAAAATGATAGTCTAAGGTTTAATTCCTATGAAGGACTTTAAAAGGGATTATGTATTAAAGAAACCATGTTCTTCTACAAGAATGAATATTGCCACTTCAATGTTGGAATCAATCGGTAATTAGACTATTGCTCGACAGACCACCGATGATCATATTGCAGAAATATAGCAATGGGACGAAGATGATTATATATGCAAAGGGCATACCCTAAATGCTTTGAGTGATCCTTTGTTTGATCTCTACTTAGGAATGCCAATTGCAAAGGACATGTGGGAAGCTCTGGAAACAAAATATAAGGTGAAGAATGTTCGAAGCAAGAAGTATCTCATTAATAAATGCTTGAATTTTAAGATTACATAGGAGAGATTGGTATTGGCTCAACTCGATGATTTCTAGATTATAGCGAATGAACGTGCATCAAATAGAATTAAATTTGACAAGTCCTTCAAGATAAACTACCACCTTCTTGGAAAGGCTATAGCTATACTTTGAGCTTGGATCAATTGATCACTCATTTGAGAATCAAAGAGGACAAAAATCCTAGATATAAAAGAATACAAGTCTTAGATGGTTGCTAGAACCCACATAGTTGAAGGTCCAAAAACGAAAATGCCGAGGACAGAAAAGGAAATTAAAATTGAAGAAAAGAAAGACACCAAAGCTCCAAAAGCAAAGACAACTCAGGACAGCATGTAAGAAACCCATGCTATTTTTGTGGCAAAGCTAGCCATGTGAGAAATTCTGCAGAATTCATTCGAAAGTAGCAACTGGCTCAAGCCCATGTAGCTGAGGAAAGATTTGTAGCCATGATCTCAGAAGTTAATGATAGAGGGGCCCCCAAACATGTCTTTAATGATAGAAACATGTTTAGGACCTACAAAATGGTGGTGGAAGACATTGTCCTTTATATGGCAACTCTTTGTCCTCCAAAGTAGTTGGTAAAGGGACAATTGAATTGAAATTCACATTTGTTGAAGTCCTCACCCTTCTGCTTCTGGATGTGTATCATGCCCCTAAAATTAAGATAAATTTGGTGTCTTCATACCTTTTGAACAAGAGGGGTTTCAAACTTTCCTTCGAGTGTTAGAGAAATGGTGTCTTTTTAGGAATGGGAGACGCCAGTTAAGGCATGTTCAAACTTAGCATAGAATGAACAAGGTACCTCTTCTTCTGTTTGTATGACTAATTCATTTGTTTATGGCATGTAGATTTGGTCATGTTATGGCCTCATAGAAGGTATGGTCCTTGGTAGAGCTGAATGGAAGACCATGATTCGTGTAGCCGACCCCAAATAGTTTTTTTTTTATGAAGTTAATTGTTAGCCAACCCCAAATAATTGGGAAAAAGCGCTAATAATGATGACATTAGGTTACGTTAATTATCATGCTCTGAGAAAAATGAGTACCTTAGACCTTATTTCCTAGGTGAGAATTTAGAAAATACTATGTGCGATGTATGTATACAATCAAATATCACAAAGAAACCCTTTCCTAAAGAGGAAAGAGGCGCCAGGTTATTGGAATTGACTCACAGAATCAGTGATGCTTGTGGTCTAAGAGATGTACAAACCCATGGTGGGAAGAAATATTGTTTCACTTTTATTGATGATTTCTCAAGACCTACGTTAACTTAATTACAAACAAAGATGAAGTATTTGAGAAATTCAAGACTTACAAAACTGAAGTTGAAAATCAAATGAATTTAAAATTCAAGGTTTCAGAAGTGATAGACGTAGTGAATATCGCTCCATTGACCTCACTAAATATTGTGAAGAAAATGGAATTATTCGCTAAGTTACTACCCCATACACAACACAACACAAAAGTTTAGCTAAAAGGAAAAATCACATGCTTGTGGATATGATGAATGTGATGCTCATCAGTTTAAACCTCCCTGCTAATTTATGGACAGAGGCTTTTATGTCAGCTAGTTATATTTTGAACAGAATAACATTTTGAAAATCTAATGCTACAGCATATGAACTTTGGAAAGGAAGGGAATCTTCTTTAGGATTTCTCAAGGTCTGAGGTTGTGCAACCTTAGTAAGGCCTCCTAATCATAAGGTGCCCGAACTTGGAACTATATCTATCATGGTTGTTTGTGGGCTATGTTGAATACAGCAAAGCATACAGATTTCTGGACTTTGACTCATAGAATCCAGGGATGCAGAATTTTTGGAACACAAATTCATTGGTAAGCAGTATATTGAGTATGAAGAATGTCATGGTAGCTGTAAAATTCATAAGCATGACAACCTTGAGGACTTGGAACCTAAGAGAAGTAAGAGAATCAGCAATCCAATTGATTTTGGTCCTGATTCTCAAATGTCCCTTTTGGAGAAAGATCCTATGAGTTTCTAAGATGCCATGTCCTCAAGTGAGACTCCATTCTACGATGATATGAAATCTATTTTGGAGAATGACACTTGGATGGTGCTAAGCCATTAGGATGTAAGTAGATTTTCAATAAGAAAATTAGGGCAGATGGTACTATTGAGAAATGTAACGCAAGACTGGTTGTAACTGGTCTTAAACAAGAGGACACCTATGCACCAGTCCCTCGAATAGCTCTCATTCAAGTACGCATTGCCTTGACTTGCATACACCATCCAGAGATTTACCAGATAGATGTCAAAACAGCTTCTCTCCATGTGAACTAGAGGAAGAAATTTATATTGAGCAACCTGAGGGATATTCTTAAGGGATGGGAACACAAGGTTTGTAAACTTATGAATCCCTATTTGGATTGAAGTAAGCACCTAAACAATTGCATAAAAAATTCAATAGAGTACCGTATTCACACGGAGTTCATATGTGATACATGTGTTTACGCCAGAGTTTGTGAGGGTGAATTTATAATTATTCGCTTATCTGCAGATGACATGCTCATACATGCAGCAATATTGCATGCATTTAGGACATTGAGAAATTATTGTTTCCCAAATTTACACGAGGCAAGCTAATGCAATATTTGGATTCTCGTAATTAAAATAGTGAGAAAATTGACTGTGTATGTTTTACCACAAAGCCACCATATTCAGAAAATGCTCAAACGTTTTGATCACTTTGAAGTTTGAATGCAACCAGTTTCAACCCTTTATTTGCCCATATTAAACTCAGAAAGAATCGTGAAGATCTTATTTCCCAATTGGACTATGCAATAATTATTGGATGTACAATGCATAAAATGTCAAGTTCGAAACGGGATATAGCTTTTGATGTGCGTAAACTGAGTAAATATACAATATACCAATAACCTAGGTCAAGAGCATTGGAACCCGTTCTATAGAGTTCTGAAATATCTCAAAGGAAGCATAGATTGAAGCCTGCACTATGCGGGTGAGCTTGCTATATTAAAAGGATACAGCGATACAAATTGGACTACAGATTCTAATGAATCTATGTCTACTAACAGATGGATCCTCAGATACAGTGGGGGTTGCTTGGGGTTCCAAGAAGCAACCCTATATCTCCAAATTCATGATGGAATTGGAGTTAATAGCCTAAAGCCCTAGTAAAGAGGCTAAATGGCTAAGGAACTTGTTGTAGACATAGCACTTATTCCAGGGCCCATGCCTGCAGTCTCAATCTGGTGTGACAATGAAGCTGCAAAATACCAAGCGAAAAGTAAGATTTATTCTGGAAAATCTAGATATATTCACTTAAGGTATAGTCAGTTGAGACTTTTGCTTGACGACGGGATGGAACTTAAGCCCATTTCTAATATGCTGCACACTGATGGGAACCCTACCTAAAGACAAGAAGATCCCACGTCCAAGGTCCAAAGGGAAAAAGCCACTTGTGTGATGTTTAAAGCAGTGTTGGAAAAATTGAACTGGAACAGTTAACCACACATGGGCCTAGAAGCGGTTCAACCGGCCTAACCCATAAACCGGCCGGCTCAACCATTCTAACCGGACAAGTCCCAAGAGGTCAAAAAAGTGTTAAAAAATACAAAAACAAATCTACTAAAATATGAAAGGTATATTTAAAGAGTGATTAAACAACGCACATCCAAATGAAGTTGAAAATTAATGGGAAAAAAATGAATTTTAAAGAATTGATTTGTGCTTAGGGGTATTTTTGAAATTTTCTAAAAAAGATGGGAAAATGTAAAAATAAATATTAATGGCCAAAACAATTTCCAATTTTTGCTATAATGATGAAAAACATTAAAAATACAATCCCTTATTTTTTGGAGATGTTATAAAAAAAAATACCTTTTTAAAAAAAAATACCCAACCGGTCACCAAAACCGGCTGAGCGGTTACCTGTTAGAATGGACGATGTTTCTGCAGGTACCAATATATTATTTAATAAAAATCTACAAAATCTTTCTTTATATGGTACAATTACTGCAAATGAATGGTAAGGTTGAATTTTACTCTTAATGATCCTATTTGTCTAAATGATGTAAAGCCTAGATTGGGCCATTGCACTACAAGGCATCCTCTATGGAATCATCTACATGCATATAGAAGTGGTGGCTGCTTCCTACTAAAATTGGGCATTTTCTAGCGAGCTTATGAAAACCCCAAAGAGCGCAGAGCCTCTATATGGGCAAACCTTTTAGAAAGCCACTGCCATTGAAAGCAAATGTGTGGTATGTGGAAGGTTTATCAATAATGGATAAAGTTCAAGATTTGTCCACTCACAGTCCTGTTAGGCATTCTGCATAACACTATGTAAAGGTTCAAGTTTGTAGGAAACCTTTGCTTATGCAATGTCCTTGTGGTCTTAGTGGGTCATGTTGTTTAGAAATAGGTGGGGGATTGTTAATTTATTTTATAGTTTGTTTCGCAACAATTTTTTTAGTTGTATGTTTTCCGACATAACCACTAGGATCTTTGTAGTTCTCATGGACCACTTAAAACTTTCCACTTGAATAGCATGACGTGTTGGTCCTAGCTATCTCTTTATTTGCCTCCCCTTTAATGTAGCATCATGGTGCACACTATTTAATGACATTATGACACTTATGATGAAGTATCATCTTCATTCCTCAAACTATTTAAAGCCCAATATTTTATTGATGCTCTCTCAATTTTTAACTTTTTCCTTGAACCAAAACTCTTTCCTCTTCTCTTCCAAAAAAATCACCAAGAGCAACCATTTGATTTTTTAAATAGAGTCATCATGGCCTCACACATCTTCTCAGGGACTCACGCATTTTTTCAGCCATATTACCAATTGGACGACAACAATTTCTTTGGCTGTGGTTTTGTATGAGTTTCCTAAGCATGCAACTTAGAAGCTTAGGATTTGTTAATCTGATTTGGCTGCATCCTGGAAGTTAGCTTGCAAATAGAATTATGTCTTGAAATTTTTCCGAGTCTGGAGCGCTTAGCATTTTGAAGAAACCGAGTTTCTCTCGTGCCTCTAAATACCGAAAGTTGGGTTCCCTTATACTTAAGTACAGAATTTAATTGAGGTCCATTGACCACTTTATCTAAGTTAAGAATGTTATCTTAGTGTAATCGAGATAGCAGTAAACGTTTTCACCACAGAAAGCATTTTGGATGCAGTGGACCAGTTTTGATCTAGGTTACTGTTTTGATTGCAATTCCTGTTTGAATGCGGTTATACTTTCAGCTGCAGCTCCTATTTTGACTGCCGTACCCAGCTTTTTACCATGGTTGCCAGTTTTGACTATGGAAGTCCGTTTTCACTGCAGTGAATTAGTTCACCACAAACTTTACATTTGTCTTGAAAACAAAAAAGGGAAAATTAACAATCCATGCCAACATGGGTTAAGAGACCCAATCAATGGAAGTCCCACCTAAATACAGGGATCAAACACATAATTTTAATCATCTATCACAGACCTAAAATACAAGTCCTAATCACTAAAACTCCAATACAAATTTCAAAATCCTTGTGTAAGCATCAACAATACCACATTCATGCCCAGTTCAAGGAAAATGCAAATATTCTGAGTAGGCACAAAGCAATCTGGGTTGTAAAACCCATGTACTCAAAACAAAAACAAAGTTTAAAATAGAATAAACACAAAAAACAATAGTTGTCTCATGCATTGTGTGTGCCCCTACACTCAAAGGCATAATTTAACGAGGAACACATTCAAAAAAATGCTCAATCTCAAGTTCCATAGTTTAGCATCAAATTTATACATTATAATCAGTTGACTATATTCCCCAATACTTTCCCAAGATGATCTACTGAAGAGACTGAAAATATCAACTAAATCACTGTACTATCATATCGTAAAAGCCCCTTTTTTTGTCAATGAATAGCAGAAAGAGTAACAAATACAATGAAACTTTCAAAATGGGAACAATTTCCCCTGTAATCAGTCCTATAAAGGCAGAATAAAAGTAGAAATAAAACAATTGAATAACAAAAGACATACCCAACTGGCAGAACACGCAACACACAGAAGCAGAAGCACCGTTCCCTTTTCACAGAGACTTGGTGACCCAATCGAGAAGGAAAAACACTAGGGCGAGGGACCAAGGTCCCATTAACTTCCATATCTTTGAAAAATATATCTCATGCCTACATTTCTCAAAACTTTTCCAGCTCCCCAAACCTTAATCCCCACCTAAGATTGAAATCCTATAAAAAAAACAAATGTGCATGAGAGAGAGAGAGAGAAATCATTCAAAGACGCAGAGAATCTCACAAAACGTGAATTATACCAATTTCTACAAAAAAAAGGTTGAATCAAGAAATGCAGAAATTTAAAGAGCAAATGGGGAATCGGCAAATCCATGATTGGTGTGGAAAAAAAGGTTAAAAGGAAGCAAAAATCGTTCAAAGTCACAGAGAACCTCACAAAACGTTACTTTTACCAATTTCTACAAAAAAAAAAGAAGAGTCGAATCAAGACATGGAGAAATTAAAAGAGAAAATGGAGAATTGGCAAATCCATGATTGGAGTGGGAAAGAAACGTGAGAGAGCAAAAATCGTTCAAAGACACAGAGAACCTCACAAAATGTCACTTCTACCAATTTCTACAAAAAAAAAAGGTTGAATCAAGAAATGGAGAAATTAAATGAGAAAATGGGGAATTGGCAAAACCTTGAATGGAGTGTAAAAAAGTGAAAGAGAGCAAAAATCGATCAAAGGCACAGAGAACCTCACAAAACATTACTTCTACCAATTTCTACAAAAACAAAGGTCGAATCCAGAAATGGAGAAATTAAAAGAGAAAACAGGGAACTGGCGAATCCATGATTGGAGTGGAAAAAAACGTAAAAGAGAGCAAAAATCGTTCAAAGACACACAGAACCTCAAAAAGCCGTTATTTCTACCAATTTCTACAAAGAAAAGGTCAGAACCAAGAAATGGAGAAATTAAAAGAGAAAATGGGGAATCAGAGAATCCATGATTGGAGTGGAAAAGAAAACATAAAAGAGAGCAAACATCGTTCAAAGACACAGAGAACCTCACAAAACGTTACTTCTACCAATTTCTACCAAAAAAAAAAAACGGTCAAATCAAGATATGGAGAACTTAAAAGAGAAAATGGGGAATTGGCGAATCCATGATTGGAGTGGAAAAAAACGTAAAAGAGGGTAACATTCCTTCAAAGACACAGAGAACCTCACAAAACGTTAATTCTACCAATTTCTACAAAGGATACAAAAAAAAAAGTCCAATCAAGAAATGGAGAATTTAAAAGAGAAAACGGGGAATTGGAGAATCCATGATTGAAGTGGAAAAAATAAAAACGTAAAAGACAGCAAAAATCGTTCAAAGACCCAGAGAACCTCACAAAACGTTACTTCTACCAATTCCTACAAAAGAAAAGGTCGAATCAAGAAATGGAAAACTTAAAAGAGAAAATGGGGAATTGAATTGGAGTGGAAAAAAAAGTAAAAGAGAGCAAAAATCGTTCAAAGACACAGAGAACCTCACAAAACGTTACTTCTACCAATTTCTACAAAAAAAAGGGTTGAATCATGAAATGGAGAAATTAAAAGAGAAGATGGGGAATCGGCGAATCCATGATTGGAGTAGGAAAAAATAAACGTAAAGCAAAGCCAAAGAAAACGATGAGAGATCAAACATGCTTGAAATTAGGAAAATTTACCTGATTAATGGCGGAAATGGAGGCAAATTCTCTGTGAATTTTGCCCTAGAAAAATGAAACCCTAGAGAGAAAGAAATTTTGAGGAAGCTTGAAAAAAGAGCAGAGAGCGTTTGTTATAGGTTTGGTTGTCAGAAAGTGGATAAAGCGGCCTGTTCGATTTTGATGTCAAAAGCTGCAGAGATACGCAAACGAAACTAATATTTTACCAGTTTGGCCGACAAAACTATTGGGCGCCCATACTGTGCTCCAATGAGAGCAAACTGTTCATTTGCTCCCTCACGAAAAGATATTTTGAATCTGACATTATGAGACCCACCAAATATCACGAAACGATTTAAAAAATAAATAAACGACATAGTTTTTATGCGGCCAGCCCACATAGTATAGAAATATGGCCTTGGCAATAAATATGTTTTTTTGAATAAAATTTGATCCTAATTTTTGGAGAATATATAATCTTTAAATTAGAGATATAAATATAAAAAAATGTAAAAAATAATAATTATATTAAAAATACATTTGAACCATTAGTTACAATTGTTTTTAAATGGACCACCTATTTGCATCCATCTTTAATATGGATGTAAAATACCTTTGGACCGCAACGATCCAACCCGCAAGAAACAATTTTCTATAAATAAATTGAATTTTGATCTCTTTAACACCTTGTTGTCTAAATACTAATCAATTCTCATTCAATATTGAGACATTTTTTTCAGGCTCAGAGAATGTGTATCTTTAATTCTTTTTTCTTGAGCCAATCTCGAGATTGTAGAGGAAATATCCCAAACTTTGGAGTCTAAAAAGCACAACTTGTATACCCCAAACTTCTCTCCTAAACAAATGTGAAAAAGATATTTTTTTTAAACCCATTCATTTCTCTTTCTTCATTTATATACCACAAACTTCTCTCCCACTTTAAACCTAAACAAAGATGAAAAAAACATACTCTTTTTAAACCCAATCATTTCTCTCTCCTCACTTATATATCCCAAGCTTCTCTCTTTCTCTCTCTTTCTACATCTCTGACTCTCTCTCCCTATCTCCTAAACCCCTCTATCTCTCTCTCTCTCTCCGTATTCCCCTATTTTTTCTATCCTAGATGTCTCTCTTTTTGTATTATACTATTTTTTATCTCCCAATCCTCTCTTTCTTTCCATATTCCCTATTCTTTTTCTCTTCCCGTTCTCTCTCTTCCCATGCCATCTTCCTGACCTCTCTCTTCCTATCTCCCAAATCCCCCTCGTTATATTTCTTCTTATTTTTTCTCTCTCTGTGCTGTCGCTCTTTCCTTCGGTATTTCTCATTCGTTTTCTCTCTTCCTGTCTCCCATTCTCTCTTCATACCCAACTCTTTATCTACAACATAAACATTTAAAATTATATAGAGAACAGATAAATAGCGTTTTCACATGCATTCGCAGTCAAATTGTAGCTTTGTCAAATTGGGCTCTACAATTTGTCCATCAAAGTAATCATTGGTTGGATAACAGATAAATACATCCTATGCACTTTCAGATGGGGTTCGCAGTCAAATTGGGTTATGAAATTTGTTGATTATTGGTTGGGCTCTGCAGGTATCACAAACATTTTCAAAACACATGTTTCAGATAGGTGGGCAGTCAAATTCAAGCTTTCAGATGGGTTGGCAGTATTTGGTAGGTTGGCAATCAAATTGGAGCTTTCATGGGTCTCCAGTAAAATTGGTTATGCAATTTGTCTATCAAATCTATCATTGGTTTCGTTCTGCAATTTGTCTATCACAAACAGAGAGTGAGAGACACTGGGAGAGAAAAATGAGGGAAAACGGGAAAAGAGAGAGTGAGAGACACGAGGAGAGAAAAATCAAGGAAAACGGGAAAAGAGAGAGTGAGAGACAAGGGGAGAGAAAATGAAGAATATACGAAGAGAAAACTAGGGAAATACGGAGAGGGATTTTGGCATTTAGATTTGTTTGGCCTAGAAACACATTTAAATTAACTCAAGGGGTTAGAAGAAATAAAATTTACAATTTCTATGTCCAAGATATCGTTTAAAACCTTGGGTCTATAGTGAAATAAAAGCTAAGAATAGGGAGTATGGAGATATTTTCCATTTTTTTCCATTTATTATTATAGAAACTATAAACGGGTATGGTTTGTATAGAGTTGAGGCTCTAAACAATCGAAGTAAAGAACACCTTCAAATAGCGTGGATAAATGTGGTTTTAATACTGAAAATCTTAGTGATTGCCTTAAAATATATTTTTATCTATAATTATAAAACTTTAAAGCTTAAAAAACAGTGTAGATTAAACAAATCTATGAAAACTTAAAAATTGACAGTCCAAAAATGTGTTACAAGATGCACTATTTCTAAAACTTGAAATCTATTTTTTTATCATGTCCACGCATCTTGATGTCATGTCCGTGCATCTTGATGTCAAGATGATCAATTTAAGGATATTTGGGAATCAAAACAACTGGTTTAGTGAAATTTTTGACGTGGGCTCTAATTTGATTGTTTTGACCCTCAGCTCCATATAAACTTTTTTCTTAAATACATTTATCCAAACACCCATAAAAGATGAACTATTTAACATTCTAACTATATTTTTTCATTTAATATCCAAATAACCATCAATAGGTACTTAAGCATGAGTTAGAATATTTATAAATGGGTAAAAGATTAAATAATTCATCTTTTATAAGTATTTTGATAAAATTTAAAACAAAATGCAATGGGTCCTATTGCAAAAAGTAAACTCGAGCTCTTTTAGAAGTGAGATCCAAATTTATCATCTCGACCTCAACAATTGTGAATAGAAAAAACTAGATTTTAAGCCTTAAAAATAGCATATCTTATAAAACTATCTTTCTAAGTGTTTACATAGCATATCCGCTACTTCAAAATTCACTATCAAGAGAGGAAATAGATTTGCAGTTACCATAGGGGTTTCTAACACTGGAACTGCAAGTGGAGTTTTGAAGTGAAATTTTGCTTTTTGATGTTAAGCCTAAACCTTACACCAACTTCATTATTTATTGGGTGTGGTTTCTATGGTTTTTTTTTTTTGTTAGAAATTTCGAGATTGTATTAAGCTAAAAAGATATTACAAAATCAGAAATATGAACAAATGAGAAAGAAGAAGAAGAACAAAGGTCCAAAATCTGTAGTAGCAAAGATTTGAACTCCCAAAGCAACTTCTGTTCCCCCTTACACCACTTAATGACATTCAGACAATCCCCTTCAAAGATGCAGTAATACCCCAAATTTCTCGTCACAAAGATGCGCAAGCCGTAAAAAAGAGCATAGTAAAATTAGCTATACGCATCACAAGTGGACATGCATACATAAAGATAACATTCCCAATCAATCCCTAAGCACATCACTAAAACCAGCTTGATTTGGATTCCCTAACGAACTACCGTCAAAATTAAGCTTACAGATCCCAAGGCCGGCACCACCCATCTTCCTTTAGGTCTGCACTTTAATAAACCCATATGGAAAAGATTATTTAAATTTCTCCTAACATTTACTTCTCATATATCCTGGCCAACTTTGGTAACTGAAAGATATAGCCAAATTGAATGCAAGATCCTATCCAAGATTTCTTCAAAAGGCAGACTTCTCCCATAAAAAACTCTCATGTTTCTCTCTTTCCAAATTCCCCATAAAATGACGCCTCTAGTAATTTACCAAATAATAATCCCTGTTCGTGGTAAATCAACCGTCAGATTTTGTAAAATCCCAGTAACTAAAGGCAACATTACAAAAACAATCCCAAGCTATACAAAGAACCATCTCCAAATGCGAAGGAAAAAAAAACAATGGAGAAAAAGACGATCATCAGACTCCCCATTCTCCTTACACATTAAGCAAATATTTGACAATATTTTCCCTCTTTTGATAAGATTATGTACCGTTAAAACCTTATTTTGAACCACCAGCCATAAAAAAGCTTGCACTTTGAAAGATAGAGGTCATTTCCAAATGATAGCTATTTCGGGCCTAGACCATCTCCAACTATCATGGAATAGCACATGATACATAGACTTCACGAATATAATCCATTTTTATCAATCTCCAAAACTACCTCATCACCGGCATAAAGAGGGATATAGACATCCTCCAATAACCTTAATAGTCCAAAGAGTTTAAAGAAAAGAGAGCCAGGGATCCTGTTATATGGAAGATTGATATTCCACACAATTTGATCACCCCTACGAACATAACACTCTGAAATATAAGCATTGGGGTTAGCCATCTTCTGGAAAACCATAGGAAAGAGTAATTTTAGTGGAGAATCCCCCTCCCATTGTGATGCCAAAATGAAAATTTTGCTATCATTGCTCAAAGACCATCGAATATCTCTATGAATAAGACCTTTGCTTGAATGAATCAACATCCAACACGAAGACATTCCCCTAACTCTACTTCTAGCTCCCACCCACATACCAAAACAATTTGAACCATACTTCGAGACAATGACTTTGCACCAGAGATGCTCTTTAAGACTTAAACTTCTCCACCACCACTTACGGAGCAAGGCTTGATTAACAGTTTTGATTTTCCTAATACAAAGCCCCCCTTCCTTTTTGGGGGTATACACCCTATCCCACCGAAGAAGATGAAATTTTTTTGTCTCCACCGAGGACCCCCAAAGAAAGTTCCTCATCAACATTTCAATTTTTCTAGCCACCTTCTATAAGATTGCAACTTTAAACAATCTAATTAAGGTGCATCTCCAAATTTTATCATAACATATAACTTTAGTGTAAAAAATTCATGTAATTTTGGTGTAAAAGATTCATAGGAATATCTGCAAATCTATTTTCATATCTACTTATAATATTTTAAACTCCAAAAATGGTTAAAATCAAGTAAATCTATAAGCATATGAAAATTTTGAAAATAGAAGATCTAAATAATATGTTGCAAGATGCACTACTTATAGGACCAATTTTTTTTTTTTTTTTAATATTTATATATCTCGATGTCGATATGATCAATTAGAGTGTTTTTCAACATTAAAACAACTTTTTTCCGATAGATTTTTGAGATGCATCTTTAATTCTACATTTTAAGGCTACAACCTTATATAAACTTTTTTCCTTATTTATAATCGTCTTTGCTTATAAGTTTTGTTGTTTATTTTTTGACAAAGCATCATTTAAATAGTCAAGTTAACT